TTAATATTAGGGGGAAGGGATTAAGAACCCTATAAGGCACTCCCAAAAAGGGACTACTATGGGGCCTATGTCTAAGCCCTGAAACCCGAAGCGCCCCCCTACAGCGCAGCCAGGCTCCGGAAGCAGATCTCACAGAAGAGAACGCACAGGACTGAGTTCGAGTCATCAGAGTTCAGGGTTTCGGGTTGCTGGATTTTACGCGGCACCCTAAACTCAAGACCCTCAACCGCGCAAAATCCGAGCTGGCAAAGGTGCAGTTGTTGAGTGTTTCTGGTCCTTCCCAGATGAGGTACAAAGATGGAAGATATTCCGACACCTGAACCCTAAGGCTCCGCGAGCCTAGAGGTCTTATGGACTTCGTGCGCTGAATTTCATACCTAAGGCTACCCAAAGGCCCCATAGTACTGTAGTTCCTTTTTGGGATTCATATTTAGAATCCTATAAGGTAATCCCGAAAAGGAACTAATATGGGGGGCCTATGGGTAGACCGTCAGCCGGAAGATTGGGGTAGGGGCACGGAGAGACATGGGATTGGCTCTGCTCGTTATCAACTTCCACATGGTTTCATATTCTGATGAGCACCCGACGTGGGATTTCCAAACCCCAAACCGATACTGTTACTAAGAGACCCTAATACATAACTATATAGTGAGTATTGGTAAGTATATGACCCCTAAACCCTAAACCCGTGAACCCTAAACCCTAAATCGTAAGTATATGAGTACTTCATAACATACCCTGCAACCACTGAAGGTGACGACAAGAGACATCCCAGCTATGAGCACCCCCGAGCTGAACCTTAAATGACTCAGCTTTAAGAGTGTTTAGAGTCTAGGGTTTAGGGTACCATGTCCACAACTTCCAGAGCAATGTGACTTCGAACACACATGCAGTAATCTGCGGTTTACGGTTCGTGTGCGCAGAATTTAATTCGGCCCTGACGGAACCCTAAACTCTACCGTGAACTACCCAAGCCTACTTTTTAGTAGGGTCCCTACAAATTCTTTAATATTTGGGTCATAAAAAGTGAGTTATAGTAGTTTACCTATAGTCTACATTGTAGTTCCTGATTGGGGTCCCCTTATGGAATCCTTACATAAAGCTGGTTTAGCCAAGAAAAGGAACTACAATGGAGACAAAAGGTAAGGTAGGAAACCCCACAGCCGAAGTACCCAGTCATCCTAGGTAGTATTAGGGAGACCCCTTAAAAGGGGACCCTTCTTAACCGCACGTATGGCCCTTTTAACAGGGGGCTTGTTGAGAGGGTCTATATCCCCAGGGGTCCCCCTAATCCTAAACTTTAAACCCCTAAACCTTAAACCCCTAAACCCTAAACCCCTAAACGCCTAAACCCTAAACCCCTACACCCCCAAACCCTAAACCCCTATAAACCCCTATAACCCCCTATAAACCCTACACCCTAAACCCTTAAATTAACCCTAAACCCCTAGAGCCTTAACCCTAAGCCCTAAACTTACATAAACCCTAAACCCTAAACCCCTAACTCCTAAACCCTAAACCCCTAAACCCTAAACCCCTAACTCCTAAGTCAGCAGTCAGGAGTTCTCCCTCGTTGTTGGTCACGGCCCAGCCACGACCTCCTTCCTCCGGCCCTGGCCGAGGCGCGATGTCCTCTCGCGAATGTACCCATATAGTCATATGGCCCTTCGGGTTTAGGGTTTAGGGATGCGTAAAGTAAGAACCCGCTAGGGGATCTTCTATAAAGATTCCGAAAGTGGATGATCTGTTTAAATAGGCGCTTAGAGCCCGAGTTTTGATTCACCAGGCTCTTACATTGCTTTTGTTTTGCTTTGCGTCGGCGAGTTTTCAAAATCCTGCAAATAAGCGATAAACAAGCGAGCGTGGTGGTGTGTAGTACCTGTTCTTGTGCAACAATAATCCTAAATTAAAGACTTTAACGTCGAAGACAGCCGGAGGCCAAATTGCCAGTTTCCGCACAGCGCGAGCGTGTAGTTGGGCTACACCCAGTCTTGTGGCGTGCGCAGAATGGGTAAAAGCCGTGGCCTCAAACGCTGCCCTGGTCAAGGAAAGCACCGAGACAAGTTTCTTCCGACGAGCCTCTTGCAATCGTTGCAGAACAGCCAGAGTGCTGTCATGTGGAGTTGCGGTTCATGAAATTGCGGCTCATGAAAGCAAGTGTCTTCTACCGAGATGCCTTTTGCAACCTCGCATGGCAGCCAGAGTGCTGTCATGCGGCATTGCGGCAGATCGAACAGCTCGGTTGTACAGCAAAAAATGACGTGGTCCTCTGAGCCCCCTGACTCCAGTCTCAACAACCCTTTCCTGACCCAAGGGTTGCGGGTCCTGCATTTCCATTTGCGACTCAGCCCTAAACCCTAAACCCCTACCCCTAAACGTGAAACCTAGAAACCCTCAACTTGAAACCC